GGTAACTGCATCCCAGCAAACGCAGTCGCTGTTCGGGTATCCAGGCAGTCCTGGGTGCTGCAGCTGCTCAATACAATAGCTGGCAGTGGAGATTACTAGTGTGGATGTGGGAGTCGACTGATTTTCTCTAGATCATCCTTTGCCATTTATGGCCACCACTGGTGGGCATACTATAGAGGACCAAGTTTCCAGTGCTTGTATCCTTTTTGTCTTCTACTCTTTTCACAGAATGCAAGGTGTTGTGTGCATGAACATCCCTAGATGTCTTGCCTGACTTGCATGAGGCCAGGGGAGTTTGTTGCTCTTGGTGCACCTTGTGGGTTACGGGGGTGGGGGGTGGCTCATGGTGCACGGTGTCCCACCCAACTCACTGATATCACTGGCTGCCAAGAGCTGGCTAGGAAGCCAGCTAGAACGCCCTGCTTAGCTCCTGGCAACCAGTAAAGTCAGTGAGCTGAACAGGACTCTGACCAGAATGTCACAGGTCACTAATAGCTCTTAGCAACCTGGGACGCTCTGGCTGGAAAGGGAGCAGCAGGCACGGCTTGCTTTCCAGTGCGTTCCAGAGGCTGAATGCTCTGGAACACAGACTGTGTGGTGTGAACCGGCACTGGTGTAGTGTATGGGCTTAATGAAAATAAGAGGTTTACCGAACAAAAGCAGCCACACATGGGTCTTCATGTGTGGTCATTTATCCCAAAAATGTTTCTGCCTGGAGGAGTTAAGCTTTAAAAGAGAACTATTGGGTTAAGGCTTTTCCCCATAGTTCTCCTTAGGGTAACGGGAACACACAAACTAGCATCCTCCCGTCACCCTAGGCTCAGTATACCGCGAGCTGTAGCTCGCGGTATACTGAGACGCCGCAGCTGAAGCGGATCCCGACAATTATGCCTGGATCCGCCCAGCTGCGTGACTGACAGCTGGCTCTGCCTATCTAGAGGTAGAGCCAGCTGTACCCGCCCCCTCCCCCGTCTGTTCCCCTCACATCTTGTATTCTTTTCACAAAGTGCAAGACATTCTGTGAATGGAGGAGGTGATGAACGTCGCAGTCTGTCCTACTCCAGTAACAGGATGCCTTGCATTCTGTGACAAGCACAGGAGCCCTGGTCCTCTGGATTATGTGCACCAGGTGTGACTTACTGTATGGTAGGCATTAGAGATGGACCGATACCGTTTTTACGGTATCGAGTACCGATATTTACATGTCGGTACACACCGATACCAAGTACCGATAAGGGTACTTCCGCTAGCATAGAGCCGGCTTCCTGACGTGTCATTACCTTGCACCCAGCTTCCTGATTGGCCGGGAAGCCGTCTCCATGCTGTTTGGCTGGCCCGATGCTGATTGGCTGGGCACTGCCGGTCAGAGGAAATCTCCCTCGCACCACAAGTTCTGGTATCGGGGGTAAGTATCGGACCATCTGGGTGAGTACTCGCGCAAATACTTGGTATCGGCATTGATAGCGATAATAGTATCGGTATCGGTGCATCCCTACTAGCCATACATGGCACAGGATGAAGGAGAAAAAAATCAGTTGATTCCCCCATCCACATGGTGACAATGAGTTTACCAGACAGAAAGTCAAGGAATATCTCCAACAGCAACACAGACAGAAATAAAAATGTTTTTTAGGGTAAACTTAGAATCCCTGTCAGCTTTACATTGCAGTCAGTTTCCCTGTTGAAGACTTTTCCTCACTTTCTGTCTGGTGAAACTGTTTCCACCACAGTGAGAGGAGATATCTCTAATGGAACCCTAAATTGCAGTGAATAACTACCACACAGGGTTCTAATCCTTCTCTTAATCTATTTAATATTTAGAAGATTTTAGCTTAACATACACCATACTTTAATGAATATATTCCATGTGTATAAGGGACCTACAGTAAAAAGGGACACAGGTGGGAGCTGGCAGGCATGAAAGAAAATGCATGATTAAAAACAAACAAAAAAACAATATGAAAGGGCACTTATGAAAGCTAAACAAAGGTATTTGCAGTATTTGGGGAAATAAAATAAAAGTGTACTGTATGCGTGTGTGTATATACTGAGTGTGTTATATACAGTATATATATCTATAATATATCTCTCTCTATATATTTATATAGAGAGAGAGAGAGAGATATAGATATATATAGATATACACATTTGAATGTAAAATGCGGTGTGTGTTGATATCACTCTGAACCCTCCACCATATTGTATTTAAGCCCTTATCTTGTCTGACATACTCCTGGTAACACCCACTTCAAGTAACGCCCATATGATTTGTGCTTATTAAGAAATGCTCCTCGTGAGATAGTTTTAACTACCCGTTCCTGAAAAACAAGAATTTGCCTTATACCCATTTACATAGCCATCTGTTTGACCTGCTTAACAATTTATTTTCAGATTAGTAAGAAAAATCTACAAAACTAAAAAATGTTGTAGAACAGCCTTTTCTAACCAGGGTTTCTCCAAATTTTGCTAGAGGTCTTTTGAGCAATTAGCAATTTCTACCTCTCAATTGAGTGAGCACAAACATCAATGATCTTTTTAACCATCTATAAGAGGGGCATTTTGACCAACAGAGGAAGGAGTATTGTTTCTGCTGTCCACCAGTGGAAGGAGTATGCGTCCCTCCAACCACCAGTGGAAGAAGTATTGTTTTTGCTGTCCCTCCAACCACCAGTAGAAGGAGTATTCTTCCTACTGACCACCCGTGAAAGGAGTTCTGCCCATTGACCTTGTCTCATTAGATGTAGATAAAGTAATTATTAGCAGGGGTTCCTCGACACAGAAAGTTTTTTCAAGAGTTGAAAATTACTGATGTAGAATCATTGCAGCAAAGAAAATAAAATACTGTGTAACAATATTACTTGCAGCCAATGTACAGGAAGTTTGGATTGTGGGCCTGTTCACACCAGGGCAGTGCATTAATGGCATGGTTCCAAGTGATTAATGCACAGTACCATTAATACACCTGCCATGTGTTAACAGTGCTGGAGGTGCATTGTGTTGCCATTCATTTGAATGGCACCCCAAATGCACCTCCCACCCGCAATGTGATTGACCATGCCGCAACATGTGGTGCCACAATACCGTGTGCTGTGGTGCGTTGTGGTTGAAAAAGGTAGTACATGCACTACTTTTTTTCAATAGCAAACCAATGCATGGTATTGCAGTACCACGCATTGCGACACTGTTAATCACATTGTGGGTGGGAGGTGCATTTGGGGTGCCACTCAAATGAATGACCACGCACCTCCTGCACTGTTAACGCGTTGTAGATGTGTTACGCACTAGTGTGCGTTAATGGAAGAAGATGAAATCCTAAGATACATGCCCTCTGTGTCTCATTTTCATAATGTAAAAGTGTGTTGTTAGTGTCATGTGTGTTGCGGAGGACCACACAGTGGACACATGGCTGAGTATGTTGTTGCGGAGGATCACACAGTGGTCACATGGCTGAGTATGTTGTTGCGGAGGATCACACAGTGGCCACATGGCTGAGTGTGTTATTGCGGAGGATCACACAGTGGACCCATTACTGAGTGTGTTGTTAAAACCATGTTTGTAGAGGAGGATAACACAGAGGGCACATGGCTGAGTGTGTTGTTAGTGTCATGTGTTGTTGCGGACGATCATACAGTGGACACATGGCTGAGTCTGTTGTTAGTGTCATGTGTTGCGGAGGATCACACTGTGGACACATGGCTGAGTGTGTTGTTGGTGTCATGTGTTGTTGCGGAGGATGACACACTGCACACATGGCTGAGTGTGTTGTTAGTGTCATGTGCTGTGGAGGATCACACTGTGGACACATGGCTGAGTGTGTTGTTAGTGCCATGTGTTGTTGCGGAGGATCCCACAGTGGACACATGGCTGAGTGTGTTGTTGGTGTCGTGTGTTGTTGCGGAGGATCACAGAGTGGACAGATGGCTGAGTGTGTTGTTAGTGTCATGTGTTGTTGCGGAGGATCACAGTGGACACATGGCTGAGCGTGTTGTTAGTGTCATGTGTGGTTGCGGAGGATCACAGTGGACACGTGGCTATGTGTTGTTCGTGTCATCTGTTGTTGCGGAGGATCACAGTGGACACATGGCTGAGTGTGTTATTCGTGTCATGTGTTGTTGCGGAGGATCACAGTGGACACATGGCTGAGTGTGTTGTTCGTGTCATGTGTTGATGCGGAGGATCACCCCAGATAGCAAGCAATTGAGCTGCAAGCTTGAAAATGACTTGCTAAACTATTGCAGACTTGCCAAGCTTCACAATTTTGTTGCACAATTACAGCAAGTCTACATTGCAAGTCTCCAGATCAATGTGCTTTGCAAAACTGCTGTAAACTTGCAGAGCTCTTGTTAAGACCTACATGACTCTTGCTGTAGACCTGCCGGGCAAATTTGCTACAAATTCAAAAAGTCTCAACTAGAATTTGCGCTGCAAGTGTTCTGCAAGTCTACAACCTGCCGGGAATGTGTGCAGCAAGTTAACAGGAATTACAATTTAACCCTCCAACAAGTTTGTGGCAAGTTATCCTTGCTATTTGGGACACAGTGGACACATGGCTGAGTGTGTTGTTAGTGTCATGTGTTGTTGCGGAGGATAACACAGTGGACACATACACAGCCTAGGCGCAGCCTCCTCTGCACAGCCTGCCTTCTCTTGGTGACAGTCTGCTTTTACTACAGCCCAGTTTGACATTTGCAGATCAGCTGTGTGCTCTCCCTCCACCTCTGTCCCTCCCTCTGCTGCTTTGAATGAGAAAAAAAAAAAGAATAGGCAGCCCTGTGTGCTGGATGGGCTGGATTCCCTCCAGATCTCGGAGAATCAGCTCCAGGGAGATCCTCGCTTCCACTACAATCCTTAACAGAGTCCCCTGGAAGGATATACCTATGCTGAAAGACCTCTGGAAGTGCTCTTTGTCCATATCTGTGTGTTGACTGAACTCCCTTTTGCTTGCAGGGTGCAAGTAGCTCATAATTACTGCTTGCTTGTGCTTCATATCCCTGACATCCCTTGTCATCATCACCGAAGAACAGCTAGGAGGTAAGTGATGAATAGGGTGCACTGCCACTACTATAGACTAGCTCCTGACATCAGATTTGACAATATGTATGTATGTATGTATGTGTGTGTATATATCTATATATATATATATATATACACATGGCTGGATGAATCCCAGGAGCCAGGTCACCAATGCTCCTCACAAGTTACAGCTAGCGATCGCTGAACTATTAAGGTTTTCTCTAGTTGCTGTCAATGGAGAGAGAGAGAGAGACTCCTATTATAGTTAGTCCATTCTGTAATTGCTAGTAAAACTTCATATTCAGTAGCCCCCACTTTATTATAACGTTATTGGTGGAATTGATAATAAGTATACTTATTATTCTCTCCTCCAGTAAGCCGTATTAACTCAGGTCCAGTAACAGGTAAAGATGTAGGATATGATAGTAAATAGAGGGAGTGTGAGCGGAGTAAATGTTTATGAAATGGATACACTGTGCCATTGGTAAGTGGTCAGAATCACAACCACGCTTTCAGGATACTTGGTAAGAATGTAATTTTTTTACAATAATGGTGAACTGTGGAAGTGTAGGGGTTAAGTAATGGATACAGTGATATTCTGTTTCATATGGTTTGAATTGATGTGAAGGCAGTTTGTGTTAAAGAGTAGAATGGGGGCATTGATCCCAGGCTGGAATTCCCATTTGGTCTACCTATGTTTACAGTAAAGTGCCTCCCTAACATTTCACAAGCTCAGGTTACCAGACATAGAGATATTATACAAAGTTAACCTCTTCCTAGCTTGGTAGGTGGAGTTGCAGGTTTGCAAGCTGTTTCTAACTGCTGTGATAGTAATTCGCTAACAACAAGTGGAAGAACTTAGTCTGTGCTGGAGCCAAAGTTACAGCCCAAAGAAATCTCCTGCTACAGGAATACCGTAATGAGTGATATTATTATTATTATTAATGATAATAAAAATAATACTCAATGTGCAAAGTCCACAGTTCTTTCATTCAACAACTTTGTTTTAATAGTCACAGTAGTGTGCAGTAACACAAGTCAGCTAATCAGAAATCAGCTTTCAGGTTTTTAAAATGGTCAGGCTAATGAAAGGTGATTCCTGATTGGCAGGTTTATGTCCCACCACTTTTTGCACCATGTTATAAAATGAACCCAACAGAAACCTCACTAGGCTATACTGTATAGATCTGACTGACAAGAGAAATCTCTATGCAATAGCAGAGTTTTCGTTTCTTTCTATTATTCTTAATATTATGATTTTATATTTATAAAACACTGAGCTATTCCACATCACTGTATATCTGAATGCTTCCACGTAGTACATGAACACTTGTTATTAACTATATTTGCAGTTTGAATAATAGCCCTTGCTATAAACTTCACTGAAGCTGGTGATATATCCATTTTGCTATAAACCGGTTTCTGAAAATGGGACACATTACAGCTGATAAGCTTTTGTTTATAAGATCCAAAGCATAAACAAAACACAAGGGTACTAATTCAACTTTGTAAACTAAATAAAACATTTATAAGTTAGGCTTAATCAGAATGGATTGTTTTGACAGCAAGTCCCACACTTCGGTAGACTTCATCCCTGTTTCATGGTCATGTTAACCATTTTTGTAACTGCATCCAAAAAACGGAGCACGTTTTATGCAAGCCAATGCTAACTTCAAGTCAGTCAGGTTAAGGGGAATTAAAAAAAAACAGACATTGAAAGTGAGCAGTACCTGAACCAAAATATTGAATTAGCCTACACCACAAGATTCTAGCTATTTTTCTATTAGCCAGGAAAATCCCTTGTGCCACTCTCTGATTTAGTTTCACTTGTTCTTGATATTATTTTCCTAGACCTCATGGCCAAGCTCCATCAACTGCCATCTCTTTGTCCAATCAGAATGCCCTTACTCGCTACTGAGGTACTCTTATTGGACACTTATATGGCATATGGCAGGGCTTAGCCATGAAAAGTGGCAGAGAGATAATTGCAGGCATTTTGTGGTGTGTGTGCTCTTTGTCATGACTTTTAAAGTCAGAAATACATACTGCGTACACCATTTATTTATTTCAGATATTTATATAGCACCGACAATTTACACAGCACTTTAGTGCACTTTCACATTAGTCCCTGCCCTCAAGGAGTGTACAGTCTACGGCAGGGGTGCCCACCATTTTTATGTTAAGATGTACTTTTCAAATGAAGAGCTACATGAGATCTACCAGCGGAAAAAAAACCTCCCTCGCTCTCTCTCTCCTGGCTGTCTCTCCTCGCTCTCTCTCTCCTAGCTGTCTCTCCTCACTCTCTCTCTCCTAGCTGTCTCTCCTCACTCTCTCTCTCCTGGCTGTCTATCCTCGCTCTCTCTCTCCTGGTTGTCTCTCCTTGCTCTTCTGGCTGTCTCTCCTTGCTCTCCTGGCTGTCTCTCCTTGCTCATCCTCCTGGCTGTCATTCCTTGTTTTTTCTCCTGGCTGTCTCTCTTTGCTCTCTCCCCTGGCTGTCTCTCATCTCTCTCTCCTGGCTGTCTCCCCTTGCTCATCCTCCTGGCTGTCTGTTTTTTCTCCTGGCTGTCTCTCCTTGCTCTCTCCCCTGGCTGTCTCTCCTCTCTCTCTCCCGTGGCTGCCTCTCCTCGATCTCTCTCCCCTGGCTGTCTTTCCTCTCTCTCCTGTCTGTCTCACACCGCTCTCTCTCCTGGCTCACCTTGCTGTATCTTGCAAACAGTGCAGGGCAACAGTCTGTGTAAACGAATATTCTTTGATGTAATACATAGCACTTCAACCACCAGTAAGGTGTCGGGGAGCTTGGCTCAGCAGACTCAGGCTAATAGGTAATCATGTGTGCACAGCTAAATAAATATACCAAAATGGAATAAAGGGGCCATCATTCGCACCCTTCATGATCTACCAGCATCAGCTTCGAGAGCTACTGGTAGATCCCGATCTACCTAATGGGCACCCCTGGTCTAAGGTCCCTATCTCACATGCATACATACAGGGCCAATTAATCTTCCAGCATGTCTTTGGCGTGTGGGAGGAAACCAAAACAAGCACAGGGAGAACATGCAAACTCCTTGCGGATAGTGATCTGGCCAGGATTCGGGCCAGGGACCACCAGTGCTATAAGGCAGAAGTGCTAACAACTAATCCACTGTGCTGATGTATGCCACCATGGAGTACCAGAAAAATGGATGTACAATTCTCCCTAACTTTTCGACGTTGCTAGTACTGGGCTTTGCAATCTATACTCGGCGGGTGGATTATTAAAATGCATAGTTATTTCAAGTTCATTTTTCAGTAAAAGCTTCAAAGCCTTACTCAAGCCAAAACTTTTTTTTTTTTTTTAGTATTGGATAAAATAGTAAGTTTTAGAACCTCTGTTAAAGTGAGAGCTAAGTGTGATTTTAAAAAAAACCACTGACAGGTAGGTTTTTATGACAGAAGAGATTCTGAGAAGAGATTCTGTATGCCCATCAGCGTTTTTTGTGCACTGACCCAAGCATGTGCAACCAAGTGCACAGAGAGGATCTATGACAAGATGAAGTAATTCTAATGTGCATGCCCTACATCATCCTGGCCTGGTCAATCAAGAGGTTGAAGATGCCGAACCCGGAAATACACAGGATGAAGATGGATGCATCGGCAACAGAGGGGAGTGCATTATAGCAAACACCTCCTGGAGGACCAATATTTATCTTTTGTGCTGGCGGTTTACTAGCACTTGAAGTTTTCATTGCTGTATTTCCATAGGCAACATCTTTACTCACTGTGTCTGGCACCTATCAAACAGACAGGAATTGAGGACAAATTGCTTCAAGGGAACACAGAAAGCTATAAAAACTTGACAGTCGCTAACTCATCCTTAATCTGTTCATCCTGCTAAACAGTGTGGATGGAAGAATCTTCTCCACTGGGCTATTGAACAGTGCTGATTGGCTTTCAGTCAAGGTTTGCTCGGCCAGGTATTACCAGCAGGGCTACCCACAGGCTGAATTTCTGCTGTTTCTGCAGAAAATGGACACAATTCAATCCATGTATGGAGAGGTTTAGAGCGACCCTATTGTCTAAAAAGAAAAAAAATTGTCCTAAAAAAATATCTGTAAAGAAGAAAGTAATAAGTACCGCTTCTGCCGCCCGCACTGCTTAATGCTGATCCAATCCAGATAAATAGCTAGCTGAAGTCCTCTTTAGAAACTGACTCTTCTAGGAGTGCCAATCTTCTTTCCCCCCGCAACATTTAGTGGTTCCTCCCACCAGTCTTCCTGTCATTATTGTGTTCTGTAGTAAAGTAGAGGTCGGTGGGAGGAACCACTGAGCACTGCAAAGGGCCAGAAGATCAACATTCCTCAAAGTCAGTTTCTAAACACTGTTACTCTGGATTGGAGCAGCATTTGCTGGCAGAGGAGGTAAGTTTTCACTTTCTTCATTGCATGATTTTAGTTTGATTTCTAAAAACCATTGGCATGCCTGTGTAGGATTAGAAAAGTCAGAGTTCTTTACAGAATACATTTTTGTAACTTTGATGGGGAGCAGTGTTTAGCAGTAAACTCCAATAATAAAAGTGGAGGTAATTGATCAACTGTCCGTAATTTGTCCTGAAAATTCCAGATACTCTATTACCTTGTTTATTGCACAACACATTTGGTGCCATTCCTTAGTTGCAGGAAATATGTATTTTATTGATTCTCTCGTCTGTGCTAAATCCTGTTGATAACACCACAGGGCATTACAGTGTAACATTTTATTTCTTTGAGCCATTGTATTCCACCCTGGGATCTATCCTTAAGGGTTCCTGCAACTTGCTTTACTGCACATTCCAAAAGCCAGAACAAAGACTTGTAGCATGTAGCTTTGCTTATTTTTCTATGGATAAAGAAAATCTCCTTCAATACACTGCTTCCTCCCAAGTGACTTCTACATAATTGTGACAGCCAGGGTTATACGACTTTATTGTAATGAAGAACCCAGAAAAATGAATCTGACCTCTCTCTTGGATACTATCCTTGGATAATATTACAGGGTAGCAGATTATTTTCATGCTGAGAACAGAATCGCTAGGTTGTTCAAAACACTTACGAGGCTTATTCAATAAACAAAGCAGGAGCACAGTGTAGTACTGCAAATCACCCCATCACAACTCTCTTCACTGAATGCAGATGGTGGGCAGTTTACTTTGTACTTTATGCTTTGGTCCTTGTATTGTTTTATTGAAAAAGATTGCTGCTGCTGAGTAGAGCTAAAGTGCTCCCATAGATCCTAATGGTTTGCTACCAGTCTTACACAGCACAGTACAAACTGCCATGAAGAAGATACCTGCACAAAATTAAGGGTCCATCAAAAGGAGTTATTCCCTTGTAGTTTTTCACCAAGATGGTAAACAACAACTTAAGTGTGGTCTTCACTCTTTACCAGTCGCTGAGATGTATAGCTGTATGGCTGCTAGATGTCCACTGTTCACCGACTATTGAGATGTATGGCTGCTAGATGTCCACTGTTCACCAGTTGATGAGATGTATAGCTAGATGTCTGCAGTGCCTAAAGGTTTGCAGCAGCTGTAGGAAAACATCTGACTTCGAGGAACCTTTTAGAAAACCCCTGTTTGTATCAGAGCAGTTATATGCAACATATTCATGCAGATGATGCTTACTTAAGTGTACAAAGCATCATTCACAGCTCCACTCCTATGATTTATGTTCAACCATGCTTACTGAGTAAAATCTTATGTTTTTGTTATGCATAGTATCACAGTATCCTGAGGCTTAGAGAAATGAATATAAACAATGGTGTTGCTAATATTGTAGCTCCCTTATTAATGCTAATGTATTCCTAAACCTAGGGCTTCATCCGAGGGTGTTCTACATGTGCACAGTAGGAGGTTCCCAGATTTGTGTGTGATCCTCAAGTCGGACGTGTGGAAGAAATAAACATCCAACAGATCAGGTTTTTCTGGGAGTTGACCAAGGCTCTGCCAGACATGGTAGGACATCTGAATCTTCAAGGCATGGAAGACAGTTTAAAGGACAAGAATCGGGAAGGGTTATTGGACAGTCCAGATTCTGGACTCCCACCGAGCCCCAGCCCTCCTTTTTACTCTATTTCCCCAGGCATCTCTGAGAGCAGAGCTGAGGGCAGCATCACCCCAACACTCTACCCTGGATATGGCTACAGGAAGGAAGTCAAAGAGGGCAAAGTGGTAAGTCATTTATTTTTGCCTTTATATTGCTTGTTTACGTGACCATATCTGCATTCCTCTATCCCTTCCACATAATTAGAATGTGTCTTGTGTAACATGTTCTTGACATTGTATATGCTATTCCATTGTGTTTTACCACATTAGAGCATGTTAATAGTGGCAATGTGGGGTTTAATATACAGTCTAATGCTCTAATAATCCTAGGTAGTGGAGGAGTTATTCCCAGGGTAGAGTGTTGCAAGATATACTTTCAGGATAAGATTCATTTTCTATTCATCTGTTTTTTCGGGGTAACATTTTATAAGCATATTCAAACTCTGACTTGGAGAAGTATCCACCTGAGACTGTATGCCCTCAGATCTATGCAAGCTGGTTTTCTGCTTAGTGCTTTTTTTCTGTATTGAGAATAAAATGCACACAAAGTTAATTTGTAAAATGGGGATTTGTCAAATTGTAGTTAATAGAAAACAATGTTATGCAGATTTGTGCAGAGAGTAATGTACCACTAGCAATTATCTCTTTGTATACTGATTAAACTTGATTAACAAACTCCTCAATTCACACAGTGTTAAAACAACCTTTTGAATCTGTAATGCAGTTTTTGTGGTGTGGTTCCCTGTTATTTTGTGGCAATAATGGGCTTGGTTTTGTTGAATAGAAACACTAAAAAGAATGTTGGTGATTCATATATAGGTATTATTTCCCCATGTGGCTCGTTGGCTGACCAGCACCCAGCAGCAAATGCAGAAGCAGTTGGTCAGTGGGTCAGTAGCTGTCCATGGGGCAGTTGTTGGCAATCATAGATCAGTTGTTGCGAATTATGCATTGCATAAACCTAATACACATATTCAGTAAGACAGTATAAAAAAAACCAATAAAATAAATATAATATATGATATTAAAAAACAAAACAATGATGCAGCAACCCACAACAACCAATCAAAAGTCATGTCTTGTGTAAGTGGATTGGTGTGTTCTAAAATGTGATTGGTTGTTATGCAAATTACAGTTCTTTGCCCTGTTTTATTGGATAAACCCCCAAAAACCCACCATTTCAATTTTTTATCTTTTTCACCAGATTGACAATATTATTTTCAGATGACTGAACAGGATTCAGATACTGCCACTACTGGCATAGCAGACAATGTTTAGGTTATTTTTTTAGTTTATTACATCTTATTGTATTTTATCATTTGATAGCACCACTTTTACATGTCGGCAGCCTTTACCCCAGATAAGCACTCCTTTCAGTCTTTGGTTTAAGGATTTGTATTATCTCTATTTATGCCAGTTTAATTTTGTCACGTAATAAGCCATTTCCGACTGAAAATCTGCTTATTCCTGGATGTCTTTTCTTCATTATCAAAAGTTTTGCCCGCTTTATGTATTAAATTATTTTACTATACTGAGTTTTCCACAAATGTTTTCTATTTATATAATGTATCTTAGTGACTTAGGTAAACCATAATGCAATGAGCAAAATTGTAACATATCTGGTACCAGCATTATGCAGTTTAGTCCAGACACAATAATGAAAACTGAGTTCTTATTGGTTGCGTCGGGTTAATGCACATCATTGCACATTGCATCATACCATAGCATACTAAAGCTAATATATCTGAAGGGTAATCCACATTAATGTTGTTTTAATATGTGAGATCCACTTGAAGTAAATAATCTTGTCAATAGGAGTTAATGTTTAGAAAACCTTGTTTTCATGTATAATTTGTAGTTACATATGTACATAAACATATTTGATCATTACATACAGAGGCACAGCTACCTGCTTTGCGATGCTACATTGTGATGATTTTGTTATACTGCTTCTTCTCGCAATGCAAGTCTATGACTAATTGAAAGTAATTGCGATGAGCATTTGATAACTCCCTCTAGTGGCAATTCAACAAATCTATTTTTATATATTTAACACGATACGAAAAATGTGCAAGCCTGTAAAAATGTGAAACATGTATTTTACGCTAAACTCTGCAAATATACTGTATATTATGCACAACATAATATTATAAGCAGGATGCTCATGGTATCATGTAGTATGTAAAAGTTAAAAAGACACTTCTATTTGTCCACTGGGGAGTGTCCTGTCCCATGCAGCTTGTGCTACTATACTCATCGAGACCCTTACAAAGGGAACATGAGAAATCATTCTTGTGAGAAGCAATGTGAATACTACGTTTGCCATGCTTACTTTAAATGGCGTGGGACCATAAACAGTGACATTTGTTTTGGGGATACATTTGTTCTGGCTCCTAGGTTGAAACAGATAGGTGGGGGGGCTAGATGATATGTGAGAAAAGCATTAAAAGAAATGTTCAGCTATGAAAGGGTGCTGTATGCCCAATAATACCACCATTGTGAGAGAAGAAGCAAATGCCCACACTAGGTATCTCTTAATACTTGGGAAAGAAACCTGCAGAGAGAGAGGGGAAGACTGTGTGCTAGGAGCCTTGTAAGTAATACGTATACACAATAGGTTATATGTTTTGGGGCATTGGCAACTCCTTCACAAAAAGAATGGACATAAGTTCCAGACAGGCTAGGATTAATTTTGTTAATTTTTGTCTGTTCCAATGGTCTGTAAGTTGTTTGGATGCTGGAAATGACACCTATGTTAATTAAAGCCCAACACCAGAGAAATTAAAAAACTTTCCTTTGCAGTAGGGCTGCCTCTGCCGTGCAAGGGTTTTCTACTCATTTATGCCTAGGGACATGAAAAATCTGTTTTACTTACCTGGTCCCCAATTCCCCGGCAGTTGGCACTCTCTTCTTTTCCCCCTCCTCTCTGGCTGTGGACTATTCTCAGCGTCCTCATGTACAATGCAGGGCTATAGAGCCTGGACTGTACTTGATTACATCTGCCTTCCTAAAGGTGCCCATACACTGCTCGATTCTCGTACGAGAATCGCGGGAAATCCCACGATCGTACGAGAATCGAGCAGTGTGAACGAAGACGTGCGACCGTTTCTACTGTACGGTCGCACGTCTTTTGTCTAAGGAGCACGCTAGAAAACCAGCCAAAAATCGTACGATTTTCGGCTGGTTTGAACGGTGCTCGGGAGACAAATGCCGAACGGGCCGGTGTGCGCACGCACACACTGCCTGTTCAGCATTGCGGTCATCGGAAGCCCGCCCCTCAGGGGGGCGGGCTTGCGATGATCGAGAGTACTATCTGCCTGTCCAAGATGGGCAGATCGTACGTTTTTTTAATTACTTTACAACCATGGCAAGACTAAGGTCTTGCCATGGTTATACAGTGTATGGCCACCTTTTAGACCACTGGAGCAAAGGGGAGAAGAGGCTGTGGGAACCAATCTAGCAGGCCGGAGGAAGTCGGCAGTAGCGAGGATCAGGTAATTAAACATAAACAAGCAGTTAACCCCAGCCCCATTGCAAGGGAACATTTTTCATTTCCTTGGAGTTGGGCTTTAATGCGGAAAAGTCAATAAAGTTGCTGGCAGCAACTTTTAACTTGTTCAGCCACGTGTACTCTCAACTCAAACTGCTATTATTTATGCCATTGTTACCTTTAATTTAATGAGCAACACATAGTTAAATATCACATTTACTTACAGACAAGTGTGTGCCAGATTGGTTTTGGTTACAAAATATGTTAGCTAGGAGGAAACCTGCTTAAAAGAGAACTATGGGGTAAGTGTTTTTCCCCATAGTTCTCGTAAGGGTCACGGGAGGACATACTATATACTAACCTCCTCCCGTGACCCAAAGCTCAGTATATCGCGGGCAATATACTGAGAGTGCCGCAGCCGGGACGGGTCCCTATAATAGCATCTGGATCCACCCAGCTGCGTGAGTGACAGCTGGCTCTGCCTATCTAGAGGCAGAGCCAGCTGTGCCCGCCCGCTCCCTCATTCGTTCCTCCACTCAAAAAATGATCGGAAAGTGACGGTATGTGTTCGCTTGCTTCCCGATCAATAGAGCCGACATGTGACAACTTCTTTGTCGCAGGTCGGCTCTAACTATGAGGATGAATGGAAATCACTCACCTCATAGTTCTCCTGTATGTGTCATTGCTGCATTGGTTACCTCTTTGAACAAAGTGGGATTGAGCTAATTTTATGTTGAGCTATACATTTTTTTCAAAGTATTTATCTAGTATCTTTTAAAATGTATCAGAAGTTAAAACTGAAAGCATACCTCCACATGGAGGGTATTGATCACCTTCATGAGCTCAGATCAATGTAAAAATATTCTTCTGTGTAATTAGCTGCTATCCAGGGACTAGAATTATAATCAGATCCCCCGTCACCAGTTGGTCGTCCCCCCCTCATTTGCCTTCCCTCTTTTCCTTTCTTCCCTGTATCCCCTCTCTATCAATCCTCTCTGTCTCTTCTGTTTTTCTTTCTTCTGGTGCTTAGGATGGTTACACTTGTCACCCAGGGCCGGTGCAAAATAGGCAGCCTCCTAGGGCGCACTGATGCTTAGGGTTGATCACTTTAAAATAGCCAATAGCAGTCTGGCTATTGCTCCCAGCTGCGTACATTCACCTGTCGCTTGCGGAAGCTAGCCGGCAGGAGAATATGTGTGGGGGTGGGGGGTACAGTTCTAGTGGATGTTTATATAATATGGGGGGGGGGCGAAAAAAATGTTCTGCCCCGGGCGCCCATAACTCTGGTTACGCCACTGCTGGGGGGTGCAAGTAGCTGGTCTTGCCTAGGGTGCAAAATAGTCTAGCACAGGCCCTGCCTCCATATGGGAAGATCCAGGGACTGCTCCACTCCACACTTACTCATGTCCTTGTACTCTTGTTGTGTATTGTAGACAAAGCCTGTGTATCAGTTGTTTTTTAATAATGTGAATACTGTCATGTCCGTGGTACCTGTTTTGCCTTGTGATTGCTGTTTTTTTCATTTTGGAAAAACCTAAAATAACTTTACTATTTCAAAAAGAACAGCCTTTAAAAAAAAGAAATCATCCTTACCTTCAGTCTTTCACAGTTGTACAGGCTCCACTCCTGCACTGAA